GCCCGCCCGCGTGGCTCCTGCCTATAATCCCAGCACTTTGGAGGTGAGGCAGGCGGATCCACGAGGTCAGGAGATAGAGACCATCCTGGTCAACATTGTGAGACCCTGCTCTACTAAAAAATACAGAATTAGCCGGCGTGTGGTCAGGCACCTGTAGTCCTAAGCTACTCGGAGGCTGAGGCAGGAGAATGGCATGAACCCGGGAGTGGAGCTTGCAGTGAGCCGAGATCCACCGCTGCACTCCAGCCTGGGTGACAGAGCGAGACTCCATCTCTAAAAAAAAAGAAAAAGAAATGACCACTTGTTAAGTTAATAGTATGCCAAAGAAGAATATCCAGAAATTATCTGCAACAACTATTAAAATATTCCTCTTTTTCAAGTACAATTCTGCAAGCTGGATTTTCTTCAGATACCTCAATAAAAGAATATACACAGCAGACTGAATATAGAAGCAGAATGAGAAAACCAATTGTCTTTTTTTTTTTTTTTTTTTGAGACGGAGTTTCGCTCCTGTTGCCAGACTGAGTGCAATGGTGTGATCTCAGCTCACTGCAACCTCCACCCCTTGGGTTCAAGTGATTCTCCTGCCTCAGCCCTCCCGAGTAGCTGAGATTACAGGCCATGCGTCACCATGCCCGGCTAATTTTGTAATTATTTTTAGTAGAGACGGGGTTTCTCCATGTTGGTCAGGCTGGTCTCGAACTCCTGACCTCAGGTGATCCACCTGCCTTGGCCTCCCAAAGTGCCAGGATTACAGGCGTGAGCCACCGCGCCCGGCCCACCAATTGTCTTTTATTAATCCAGACAATAAAGAGATTTGCAGACATGTAAAACAATGCCACTTTTCTCATAAATGTATTTTTTGCTTTATCATCTAACGATTTTGAATATAAATATATGTATTGATTTAATATAATTTTTTAAGTATTTAATAAAATGTGTTAACAAATAATGGGCTTATTACTTTAAATGCATACATATTTAATTTTTTTTCTTTTTTTGAGATAGACTGTCACTCTGTCACCCAGGCTGACGTGCAGTAGCATGATCACAACTCAGTACAACCTCTGACTGCTGGGATCAAGTGATCCTCCCACCTGGGCTACCTGAGTAGCTGGGACCACAGGTGTGTGTCCTCCCACCTGGGCTACCTGAGTAGCTGGCTAATTTTTAAATTTTTTGAGGGGTCTTTCTATGTTGCCCAAGCTGTTCTTTCAAACTCCTGGCCTCAAACAATCCTGTTGCCTAGCCTCCAAAAGTGTTGGGATTACAGGTGTGAACCACTGTGCCCAGTCAATATTTAATTGTTTTGTTTTACTATCAAATATGGTAAATATCAATATATCAAATCCAGCTATTTAGTGTCTTTGATATTTAAGAATGCAAAGGAAGCCAGGCCTGGTGGCTCATGCCTGTAATCCCAGCTACTTGGGAGCTGAGGTGGGAGGATTGCGTGGGGCAACCAGTTTGAGACAAGCCTGGGCAACAAAGCAAGACCCTATCTCAAAAATGATAATAATAATAATAATAATAATAATAATAATAATTAGCTGAGCATGGTGGCACATACCTGTAGTTTCAGCTACTTGAGAGGCAAAGGCCAGAGGATCTCTTGAGCCCAGGAGTTTGAGGCTGCAGTGAGCTGTGATTGTACCACTGCACCTTGAGCTTGGGAAACAGAGCAAGACCCTGTCTCTGAAAAAAAAAAGAAAGAAAGAAAGAAAGAAAGAAAGAAAGAAAGAAAGAAAGAAAGAAAGAAAGAGAGACAGAGAGAGAGAAAGAAAAGAAAGAAAGAAAGAAAGAAAGAGAGACAGAGAGAGAGAGAGAAAGAAAGAAAGAAAGAAAGAAAGAAAGAAAGAAAGAAAGAAAGAAAGAAAGAAAGAAAGAAAGAAAGATGTAAAGGAGCTCTGACACCAAGAAGTTTAAGGGCCACTGCAGTGCAGGGAACATAATGCAGATAGCTAGATCAAGGTTCTTGGAACTGCAGAAAGGTCAGAGGGCAGTGAGGAAGCGGAGGTCAGGGGGTAGCTGCATGGGGAAGCTGCCACTGCCCTCGTGACTGGAAGGGCAGAGGAAGAGGAGGTGGTGTTCTAGTGATCATGAGCAGGAACGGACCTCAGGACCTGGCATCATAAAGGGGGGACATGTGGCAGGACGACAGCTGAGAGTCAGGGATACCTGGTGGGAAGCAGAAGCATGACAGGGCTGCCGGATGGGAGGTGGAAATGTGAAGGAGATGCAGGTCCTGCTGGAGACCCCACCCGCAGAGAGAGAAGGGAGAGAAATGCCCTGCTTGCTTGCTGTCTCCTGTTCCCCCATTTCATGGGACAACCCTGTCTGCTGTTCAGAAGCTCGTTTGCAGCAGAACTTGGGGAACAGAGCTTGCAGCAGTCAGTTCCCCAGCAGTCCAGAGCAGAGGAGAGCAGGAGAGGGCTAAGAATGGATCTGAGAGCAACAGGCACACACCTGGCACAGAAAAGGAGGAGAGAACCAGCAGCTTGGCTTGAGGGAGCCACAGGGGTAAGAAGAGGATGCTCATGATGCGAGTATCTTGCCCTGTAGTAGGAACAGAGAGCCAATATAGAGGAAGACGGAGGTAAACCCAATTTGGGTGGGCCTGGGACAGAAGGGAGGGGATGGTGGACTCTAGGCAGAATGGTTGGCCTTGTAGACAGTGGCCACTAGATCTAGAGTTCCCATATGAAAAAGCTTGTTGGTGGCCGAGCACAGTGGCTCATGCCTGTAATCCCAGCACTTTGGGAGGTCAATGCAGGTGGATCACGAGGTCAGGAGATTGAGACCATCCTGGCCAATATGGTGAAACTCCATCTCTGCTAAAATACAAAAAATTAGTCGGGCGTGGTGGTGCGCATCTGTAGTTCCAGCTACTCGGGAGGTTGAGTCAAGGGAATCGCTTGAATGCTGGAGGCAGAGGTTGCAGTGAGCCGAGATCACGCCATTGCACTCCCACTCCAGCCTGATGACAGAGCAAGACTTCATCTAAAAAAAAAAAAAAAAGGAAAAGGCTTGTTGGTCTAGTTGATTGGAACTAGAAATATAATAGGAAGCTTGTTTAGAAAGGCCAGGTGTGGTGGCTCACGCTTGTAATCCCAGCACTTTGGAAGGCTGAGGCAGGTGGATCACCTGAGGTCGGGAGTTTGAGACCAGCCTGAGCAACATAGAGAAACCCGGTATCTACTAAAAATACAAAATTAGCCAGGCGTGGTGGAGCATGCCTGCAATCCCAGCTACTCAGGAGGCTGAGGCAGGAGAATAGCTTGAACCCGGGAGGCGGAGGTTGCAGTGAGCCGAGATCACACCATTGCACTCCAGCCTGGGCAACAAGAGCGAAACTCTGTCTCAAAAAAAAGAAAACAGAAAATTGTTTGCATACTTCTCTCACTTAGGGTCTGTTTACTTGGGGAAATTTTTTGGTTATTGGGCATGGAAAGGCTAAAGCCATCTATCCTTAGGCTACTAATTTTGAAGTCTCTATCTGTAGTCTAGACTCCTCTCACATTCAACTATTTCTGCTAAAGATCTCCACGCGGACGACAGGGTGTCCATGCTCTTCCTCATGGCTTGAGTAACTCTTATTCACTCTTCTGGTCTTATCTTAAATGGACTTCTTCCAGGAATCTGTCCCTGGCTCCTAGACTAGATTCCCATAGCTCTGGCTTTCTTGTCACTGCTTGTTTAATGTCCCTCTCTTCCCACTAGAAATGTCCTGGAGCAGTACTTGGGATGAGGTGGGTACTTACTGCTTATCTGATGAGCGACTAATGACTGATTGTTGTGGAACTTTGGGCTTACCTTGAGCAACTCTCCCCTCTCTGCTGCTTCCATAATCCCAGGGTGCCAGAGAAGAGAACCGAGCTGGGCACCCTTCCTTCCCTTGTGTACAGTTCAGAGAAGAGCCAGGAGCTTGAGCTTTAATCTGGCTATCATGTAGTGGCTAGGAGGTCTGGGCAAGGCGCATCACATTCTCAGTTTCCATCTTGTCATGTCTCTGAAACGGAGACAGTAAAACCTGCCCTCCTCTTAAGGTTGTTGCCAAGGTGAGAGTTACTGGTAAAATAGCACCAAAATACAAACCCGAATTCAGAGGAGCAATCCTCTCTGGTTTTAAGCACTGGGTGGCCCCTGATATCACCAGCCCAGTTGTTTATCTTCTCTGGAGAGGAAATGTTAACTGGAAGGTCTTCAAGGGAGACAGCTCTTTGGCTGTGGAGTTGGCCTACGTCTCATCCTCCAGCGATGGAGGGAGCCCAGCCCATCCTCCCTCACGCACCTTGGTGGGTACTCAACCTAGGTTCCCACACGGGCAGCTGATGTGGAGAGTGAAATGCACAAGACCCGGGAGTTCTGACTCTCTGATCTTCTCTGGTACCACACAGGCTCTCCTTCTGGCAAGGACAAAAGAAAGAGGTTGGTCCTGAGGAGACAGGAGCCTTCCAGAAGTGTCTCTTCCTGGAAGACTTAGCTAAGGCCCAGGCTGAGCTCTGGGATAAAAGGATTAAAAGCACGGCTCAGCTATCCAAGGGCAAGGGGCGGAATGGCTGCCTCTCTCTGGGACAGTAAAGATGGAGGCTTGTTGGGGGACAGGACAGGGGGCAGGTGGGTGACTCTGTGCCACTCCTGCTGGCACTTCCTCCCCTGGCACTGCGGAGGCAGGTCTGTCAGGCACTGAGGAGGTGCTTCCTAGCTCCAGGCACTGGGGGAGGCGGATGCCAGGTGAAAGGGCTTGTCTGAGAGGAAGGCCTGAGGTTCCTGGGGAGAAAAGATCTCACTTCCTCTTTTCTCCAGCTGAAATGCCACACAGCCTTCCTTCGGTGCCAGGAGAGGCTCTGGGCCTGCCCCGTAGAAGTCTGAGAGGCTGCTACACACAGGAGACTGGAGGTGAGGTGGTCTGAAGGAATGCACGAGCCCCCGGCCCTAATCCCCAGGGCCTGGTGGGAGGGTACGGCTGGTACAGACTAGGACTGCACTTTCACCAACATAACCCCCCTGAAGCCTGGAGGCCAGAACGTGTGAATTATAGGCCTGGCCTGGGGGAGCCTTGGGCCTCACACCCTCTAGAGTAGATAAGGTTGGATCAAAGGAAACTCAAAGGCCCCTCCCTCACACATGCTCTTCCCAGGATCCACTGCCCAGTGGCTGGAGAGATAAGGCAGAGGATACATACGCACTGAGGGGATTTTGGAGCCTCCCGCACAAACATTCCCTTGTGTGTGAGCCGCGTGCCTCCCCTGCACAGCTCACCACCCCAGTGGTGGTGTTGGGTCTTGCATCCTGCTTGTAGGATTCCTTCCAGCCCTTCCTCCTCTGCCTGTGTTTATCCTGTGGAGTCCAGATTGGCCTGAAATGAAGATCAGGAGCAGCCTTTGTGGACCTGCTCCCTGTGGGGGGCCTCTGTGCCTGTCCCGTGCCAGGTTTTGGGTCAACCAACTTTCTACGGCCTCTAAATAAAAATCAGACCCCTAAGCCCTGGGGAGAAACGTAGCTTTTCCTGGAGATCTTGTGGAGGTACAGAAGAGAGGGTCACATGTTAATCATCCAGCAATACTCGACATCAGACTCCCCTGCCCAGTAGACGTCGCTACCCTCTCCGGCATCCCTGTTCATTGGCACTGGGCTGCCAGACCTCCTCTTCCTTTCCTGTTCTTTTTTCAGACTTGAAAACCCCTCTGCTCTCCCATATGCAATGTGGCCATTCCCAGATCTTCCTCCCAGGCCTGCTTGGAATTTCCCTCAGCTTGCGGATTGCAGTTTTCACTCAGCAGACAAAACCACAGCAGAACTCAGTAAACAGCTGCACTGTGATGGCCTGCAGGTTCTTACACCTGCCCGGGGAATCCCCTTTGCTTCATCCCATCACACCTAAAGAAAAGGAGAGCCGCAGGAGGTCTGACAGTGGGTGCATGGGGCCCAGCTGGGCGGCCTGCCCAAGCTCCTGCCCATGCTGGCCTTTGTTCCTCGGGCATTTCCAAAGCTCAGGGCTTGGGCCTTTGTCCATTCTCAGGATCCGGTAAACGATGCCTGACCACCCAAAACCCAGCAATCTTTCCTGCCTCCAAACAAAGAGGCCTTTTGATTTTTCTTACTCTCTTGGCCCTTACATGCCAAAATGTCTTGGGTAATAAAAAGAAGATTATCAGGAAATACTCACAGAGCACTTACTATGTTCCAGGTACTATTTTAAACATTATAGTTATTAACTCATTGAATCCCACGAGTTGAGAGGCACTGTGTGTGTGTGTGTGTGTGAGTGTATATGTGTATATGTGTGTGTATGTGAGTGTGTGAGTGTATGTATGTGTGTGATAGTGTTAGTGTGTATGCATGAGTGTGTGTATGTGTGTGAATGTGTGTGTGTGTGTATATGGGAGTGTGAGAGTGAGTGTGTGTGTGGGTGGGTGAATGTGTGTGTGCGTGTGAGTGTGTGTATGAGTTGGATTTCCTTTTCATGCTTTCCTGGATTTGCTACCATGAACAACTATGACTTTTACACTCTCAATAGGGGAATTAACTGCTAAGGAGGTTAAGGTGGGAGGATCACTTGAACCCTGGAAGTCAAGGCTGCAGTGAGCCACTGCACTCGAGCCTGGGTAACAGAGCAAGACCAGGTCTTAAAAAAAAAAAAAGAGACAGAGAGTTAGAACTTGAAACAGATGTTTACTGAGCATTTGTTGAGTGAGTTTTAAATTAAGGGTGAGCACAGAAGCCCAGAGCTGGGCTTGCATCCAGTGGGTATGTAGCAGTGTGGCTGGCATCGGTCCTGACGGTCAGGGACCTGTTCTGACCGATCATGCCCATTGATAAGCATTTTGATATCTTTCCTGGCTGGAGTCATGGTCTCTGCTTTGGAAGGGAGAAAGATTCTACCCAGTGGCCAATTCCCTTCCCCCAGCCAGCAGCCCCAGTCCAGTGAGGGACTCACTACCTTCCCCCAGCCAGCAGCCCCAGTCCAATGAGGGACTCACTATGTTGATCTCTGTTTTGTTTTTTTTTTTTGAGACAGAGTCTCGCTGTGTCACCCAGGCTGGAGTGCAGTGGCGCAATCTTGGCTCACTGCAACCTCTGCCTCCTGGATTCAAGCAATTCTCCTGCCTCAGCCTCCCAAGTAGCTGGAACTACAGGCGCCCCCAACACACCCGGCTAATTTTTTGTATTTTTAGTAGAGACAGGGTTTCACTGTGTTAGCCAGGATGGTCTCGATCTCCTGACTTCGTGATCCGCCCACCAGCCTTGGCCTCCCAAAGTACTGGGATTACAGGTGTGAGCCACAGCGCCCGGCCGATCTCTGTGCTCTTTAAAGAGGCTGCGTGGGGGAACTCTACCAGCTCCCTCCTGGGCTCTTTGTTTCAAACTCCCAGCCTTCAGAGTTAGGAATCGCAGCCCCAGGTTGGTGTCCACACTCCAAAGCAGAAGACCTCAGCCCTGGCTGCATATTTAAGAAAATACCAAGGGCTGCACACAGTGGTTCACGCCTGTAATCCCAGCACTTTTGGAGGCTGAGGTGGGAGGATGGGTTGAGGCCAGGAAGTTGAGACCAGCCTGGGCAACACAGCAAGACCCTGTCTCCACAAAGAAAATGAAAAAACAAAACAAAAAGCCAAAAAACCAAAAACGTTAGCTGGGTGTGGTGGGGTGCACCTGTGGTCCTAGCTAATCAGGAGGCTGAGGATCACTTGAGCCTGGGAGGTTGAGGCTGCAGTGAGGTATGATTGCATCACTGCACTCTAGCCTGACCACAGAGCAAGACGCTGTCTCCAATCAATCAATCAATCAATCAGTCAATCAATACTAATGCTGGAGTTGCACCCCACACCACTGGAAACTCTGAGATAAGCCCACGGCAGGGGTATTTTCTAACTTTCCTGAGATGGCTCTACTGTGCAGTCACAGTTGAGAACCACGGAGGCATCCAGGCAGATGGAAAAAGCCCCCTCCAAGGTGGGCCTTGATAAAGGGTCCAGCATGGAAGAGGACACATGATGACTCCGAGGGCTTATAGTTGATTAGAAAGAGAGCTAGACCCTGTGCACAGAGATGGGTAGACTCAACGCGACTTGGGTACTGGAACGCACAGAAAGGAGGCAGCTCAGGTAGGGTGAGGTTAATCAGGCCAGGCTTTCTGGAGAAGGTTTAAACATTATAGTTATTAACTCATTGAATCCCAGGAGTTGAGAGGCACTGTGTGTGTGTGTGTGTGTGTGAGAGTGTATATGTTTATATGTGTGTGTATGTGAGTGTATGTATGTGAGTGTGTGAGAGTGTTAGTGTGTGTGCATGAGTGTGTATGTGTGTGAATGTGTGTGTGAGTGTGTATGTGGGAGTGTGTGAGTGTGAGAAGGAGTATGTGGGAGTGTGTGACTGGAGAAGGTTCTGGAAAAAGTTTTGGGTGGCAAGTCCCCCACCCCAGTGAACGGACTCTTCAGGTCCTTGCTATGGGTTTTCCCAGGGGTTCCTTATCTGATGAGCCACCCCCTTTGTGACTCTGGCTCAGGCTCCCTGCCCAGCCCCTGGGCCTGTGGGGTGTGGCTGGCCACTCTTCAGTCACTGCCCTGGCTCTACAGGACACCCCGGAGGACGAGACTCCTGTAGATAAGACCCGTGCTTGTTAGCACAGCTGTTCTCTGCAACACCCAGCCTTGTTTTCAAACCTGCGGAAACTTGGGTGCGGAAGTGTGGCTACATCCACCCAACTTCAGAGTTGGGCTTGGTTCCAAATAAAAGGAAATTTAGTCATTTTTCCCAGACACAGGGACAAAAATAGAGTTGACAGGAACCTCAAAGGTTCTGCTGGGGTACTGGGGTCACACCTAGAAAAATCAGTTGGCTCTTTGGTCTGGGCGCCCTGTTCAAATGCCCTGTTTAAACTTAAACTCTTGGCATCTACCCTCAAATCTGCTCCATGGAAGTGCTTGGAGATGGTGCTCTAAAAGATTGTGCTTTTTGTTTTGTTTTGTTTTTTTGTTTTTTTGGTTTTTTTTGAGACGGGATCTTACCCTGTCATGCTGGAGTGCAATGGCGTGATCTCGGCTCACTGCAACCTCCGCCTCCCGGGTTCAAGCGATTCTCCTGCCTCAGCCTCCCAATTAGCTGGGATTACAGGTACGCACCACCACGCCCGGCTAATTTTTTGTATCTTTAGTAGAGATGGGGTTTCACCATGTTGGCCAGGCTGGTCTTGAACTCCTGACCTCGTGATCCGCCTGCCTCGGCCTCCCAAAGTGCTGGCATTATAGGCGTGAGCCACTGCGCCTGGCCAAATATGATACTTTCTTTTAAGAATGTCATTTTGTTTCTTCTGCCGTCAACAGTCCTAGAGTTTCTGTGTGTTCATTGAGGATCTTTGAGCAATAAGCTTACTACAAGGTTCTGGGGTCTATAAATTATCTGCATAATCAAAAAAACTGGACTGCATGATCAAAGAATCTAACTTTTGTATGTTTAATAGAGACTGGACAGGTAACTCATGCTTGGCTAGACTGGCCCCTGGATCTGTTATCCCTGGATTCAGCTTTGGGTCCCATCTCAGGTGTCCAGGTCCTGTATGAGCTCCTGCTGCAGAATGGGGCCTCGGGGCCTCCCATGGGGAACTTGTTCTGCCTCAACATTCTGTGCTGAACAGTGCTGATCTCACATGAGTCCTTCCTTACCTCCTGGAGAGCATTCTCCTTTTTACTGCCCTTTCACCAATTCAGCACTAGCACATTGCATAGCACCAACAGCGGGGAGGGGTCACGTGGGCCCTGGGAAGGCCCTCTAAAGTGCAGAGGACAGGTTTCCCACCATGCGATAGGCGGAGGTCACACTGCCGTTCACAGCAGAACTGAGCCTGAAATTCAATCTTCCGATTCCCAGGGTCCTCACCCACCTAGTGAGCCGTGTGCCGTAAGGGGACCCCGCCCATCAAAGGGTCTCCAAAAGCCAGCGATGACACGAAGCAGGAAATGTATCATCAGAGCTGAAAAGAATCACACAGCTCCACAGTTCCATATGTTGGTCAACGGGCCCGTACTGTCTGTGGCTTCAATGGGTCAGAGGTGTCGTAGTAGACAATAGAACCATCTTCATTCCCCATGGAAAGTTTCCTGGGGGGTTCTGGACCCATAATTGAGCTGATGGTAACTGGAAAGGCTAGAGGATGGCTGGATCTAAAAATGCAGCACAGAAGTTCCTAGGGCAAGTGACTTAACCCTTTGGAGCTTTAGTTTCCTCATCTGTAATGGAGGAACAATGAAAGTACCTACTTCTCGGGGTGTTGCGGGGGGTGAGATGATACTTATGGAAAGTGCCCATGGGGCGCCTGCGCACAGGAAACTTCAGGAGGCTGAGAAAACTGCGTTCTTTCTTTCCTTTTTTCTTTTTTTTGAGATGGAGTCTCACTCTGTCACCGAGGCTGGAGTGCAATGGCACGATCTCGGCTCACTGCAACCTCCGCCTCCCAGATTCAAGTGATTCTCCTCACTCAGCATCCTGAATAGCTGGGATTACAGGCATGTGCCACCATGCCAGGTAATTTTTGTATGTTTAATAGAGGCAGGGTTCCACCATGTTGGCCAGGCTGGTCTTGAACTCCTGGTCTCAGGTGATCTGCCCTCTTTGGCCTCCCAAAGTGCTGGGATTACAGGCGCGAGCTATTGCACCCAGTGAAAACCGTGTTATACTTAAAGGCTCTCTCTGTTTGTAGCTGGCCTTCCATTTCCCTTTCCCTGGCCGATCTCCTCTGAGTCCTGGAGGGGCAGGTGTGGGATGAGTTTGTCCTTTTGAGGAGGAGACAAAGACACACAGAAATGACTTGTTCCTGAGACACGCAGTGAGTCAACAGCTGGGGCGTCCTGGAGCCTGGGTCTCCCTGCCCCAGTGGCTCTCTCTGCCAGTGCCCTGAGTTTCTGCCTGCTGCTGGTCAGCCTGGGGCCCTGCCTCCCATCTTGCCGCTGACCCTGGCCGGAAACTCCGCCCCATTGTCTTAGGCCTCGGGAATCTGGCTGCCCTGGGGTGACAGCTTTCTCCTCTGGCTGAGATAACTCCAAGAGATGTCTATCAGGTTCAGGGAAAGGGGAGCCTCTGAGCAAGCCCCTCCCTGCCCTGTGATAACGGCAGACAATGCTTAGAAAGGAGAGCCTTCCATCCCACAGCCT